CCCCCCCGCCCCCCCCCCCACCCAGCCCCCGCCCGCCAGGGTCCGTCCCGCGCCTGCCCCGCTCTCCTGCCCGGGGGTCCCTTCGCCCCCGGCTCCCCCGGGCGCCACTTGCCCGGCAGGCAGCACCCCCGCCCGCTACACCAGTGCGCCGCCTACTCCCCAGCGCTACCCGGCAGGGGCAGGAGCGCGGAGCCGGTCCGCGCACTGACCTCGCACTGCCGCCTCGCTCCTCGGACACGGACAGCGAGAGAGTTTGGCCGCCGCCTGCCTCCAGCCGTGACTGGCTCCTCCTCCTGAGAGGCCTCTGCTCTCAATCCCTGTGAGGGGAAGCGACTCCCCTGGCCCCTCTCCGTTTCCAAGTCTCTCTCCCCCATCAGTGCGAGGGAGGGAGGCCTGGTTGTTGTCCCAAATGATTTGTTTGCTTGTTTGTTTTAAATGGATGTTTTCCGTGCTGCTGGCCCCTGATTCCTGGCCTTGTTTGGGATGAGAAATTCAGCGCTATGGAGCCTTTGCTCCAAAACGTTAGACCAAAACCGAGGGAACAGCTGCTCCTTGGTTTAGAACAGGGGTGTCCAAACTTTTTTCAAAGAGGGCCAGATTTGATGAAGTGAACATGCGTGAGGGCCGACCATTTTGCCTGACATTCTTTGAACCATTAAAATTAAATGCAAATTAACTATTTTATGCAAAGTTTATTGCAAACGGCATACTTTTCATTTCGTCACATGGATGACAAATCTAAACAGGTGTTAAATCACTCTGCCTTTCATATCTGAAGGCCAGATGAAAAAAAAAATCCAGGAAGCTGAAATATATGTCAGGAACATTGTAAAGTACATTACATATTATTGGTAATAAAGGTTGTCTGTCAACTTTTAAGTTCAAAAAATATGAACAGGAACATAACACCAAGTATACATGTTGTGTCCAAATATATTTATAACTGATTTAGACCAACTGACATTAACTGAGATTTTACAATGTATTCATCTCAATACATATGGATTCGTTGGGGGCCATAAAAGATAGATATTGCCAAATTACCTGTGGGGCCGTATTAAACCGGAACACGGGCCGCAATTGGCCCGCGGGCCGGACTTTGGACATGCCTGGTTTAGAATAACAGGCAGATCAAACACGTTGGTGGCTTGGCTTATGTCCTATAATTGTCAGGTTCAGTTTCCCAGCAGTGTTGTGTATTAGGGTGAATGCTGTTTGGTCCTCCTGTCTATTCAAGCAAGGCTACCCAGTGTCTTGTGATGGTCAAGGGATCCATTTTATGACATAGCCTCTACCGCTCACACAGAGTCTGAGACTAAAAGCCTCCAACTACATGGCATGGCAAGGTATACAGAGTCTGGGTTCAGTTCTTCTGGACATTAAAACCAGAATTGCCGTTATCAACTTTAAAACTGTAAATAAGCACACAGGCTTTCACAATATAACAAAAAACAGGCTAATCCCATGTCAAAACAAAGCCAATCCCTAATGTGACTGGATCTCTTGGCATGCAGTCTTGGCACTGTGGGTGGACTTGTAGCCCCTTGTTCCTCACCCTCCTGCTGAGTCATTTCCCACACAGTCCATGTGCAGGTTACTCACATTGCTCCACTCTCCCACCTGCACATCACCACACACAGGCAGGCACGCAGAGTTAACCATTGAGATGCCAACTTTCACACACTGTAAATAAGTGTCCAGTGTCACAGAAATGCCACTTCAGATCAAAACTAAAACCAGTCACTCCTTAACCCCATCATTCTATGTGATTACATCCCCAGACATGAGTCTGTGATGGGCTTGCTGTGCACCTTTGAATTTCCCTGCTAGCTGGGAAGCCAGTCAAAAAAAAACTTAAGCCAAAACAGGCTAAAACGGGAAAACCAGTCAACACGCAACTCTCAAACCAATGAAGTCAAAACTAAACCCAATTTCTTCATTTTTTGACATGGATTTGACACAGCAGGCATACCAGTCACCAGTTGTGCTTTCTTATTGGCCAGGCCTAGGGTGCCAATCGGAAAAAAAAAGCAACAAGCTACAACAAACTAAAAGCAACTGTAAAAGCCAACTGACACAAAAACAATCTAAATTTCTGCAGTTTTGGTAATCCTTAGCCCTTATACAGGGTGAAAATCTCTCTAGCTGCCCCAGTACTAATCATGTGTGTTCCTTCTGTACCAGATATCTCAAATGCTCCACAGTCTGTGCTGTTATCTAATACTATTAGGGTGACCTCATGTCCTGATTTTATAGGGACAGTCCTGATATTTGAGGCTTTGTCTTGTACCCCCCACCCCGTCCCGGTTTTTCACACTTGCTATCTGGTCATCCTAAGTGCTGGTTTTGATATTTTTTTGCCCTTTCTTTCTCAGCCCTCCACTTTTACCCCTGCATTGCCCTTGTATCCCTCAATCTGCCTACCAAGTCTATCTAAGTTTTCATACTGCATTCATCAGTGCAGGAAGGTGTTCTGTATGGGTCGGGGGCACAAACTAGGAGTTGCAGGGGAGGAACTGAACATTTAGGAGCAGTCCTTCAACAAGATGGCCCCATGGCTGTTACTACAGGAGCATGCTGCTCCCCAGCAGAGCCATCCTGTCTATAGGATGGTTTGGGGCAACAGTCCTGGGCCCTGCACTTTGGGGGGGCTTCATGCTCCAGTGGGACACAAAAGCACAAGACCAAAAGCAGTCAGGAGGATTAGCAGGGGGGCCTGTTGCCAGCAATGGAGGGGGCATCCCTATACTCATAGGAGGCAGCAGAAGAGGAGTGACCCAGCCCCAACCTGCTCCATGCCACTGACTTCCAGCATCGCTCAGGTGGAGGGTGCTTGGGGGAAGAAGTGGAGTGCAGACAGGAGCGGCCCTAGACGAGCTGCCGGCAACTGGCGCCCTAGGTGAAACGCACGATCGGCGCACAATCGGCGCCCCAGCATCCAAAGCCCTCAACGGCCGTTTTTCTTGGTGCCCTAGGCGACCGCCTAGGTCGCCTGTATTGATGGGCCACCACTGAGTGTGGATTGAGAGGGGACAGAGCAAAGCAGAGGTGGGTGGGCAGAGCAAAGCCAGGGGCTTGAGGGAAGCGGTGCAGTGGGGGAGGAGTGCAGCAGAACAGTAGTAGGAAGTAGCAGGGTAGGTGGAGTGTTACAGGCTCTGCAGCCCCTCTAAGCATGGTACTGATCCCCAGGGACAGTCAGAGTGGGGAGTTTCTGTATTACCATTCTTCAGAGAGGAGCTATCTGATAACAATACCTATTGCCCATTTCCAAACTGAGGGCATGGGCTAACTAAGGGGGGGATTTATGTCACGTGGGGGAGTGGATTGAAGGCCTTCCATCCACTGCTACTTTGCTTTTGCTGTAGTTATAAGTGATGACAGAGGGGAGTATCTTCAAAGGTCCAGGAACTCCCTGCACAATTCAGGAGCTACTGGATAAGCAGAGCTGCATCTCTGTTCATAGCTGCAGGCATTAGAGGCATGGAGGGTGCTTCAGTTTTATTCGGGGCTCCATTCCCAGCTGTGCATCTGGTGCTCTGCTTCTGCTTTCCCCCTCCCCCAACAAGTGGGGTCCTGGCCACTGGCTATGCTCACATGAGTGCTCCCAGCCCCAAACTAGGGGCTCCACTTCCAGCTGAGGATATTAAATATCGATTAATTTACTAGTCGAGTAGTTGATGGAATTTCCATCGACTACTCGACTAGTCAATAGGCACTTCCACATTCTTCCTTTGAAATGCCATGCAGAGCCAGGGTCAGCTGGGGACTCCCTACCTGATCCCAGGTTCCGTATAGCATTTCTGCAAAACTGTTTCAAAGTGGCAGCACCGCATGGAGCTCCCCAGCTGACTCTGGGTTCTGCGGAAATGCCTCATGGAGCTGGGCGTTAGCTAGGGAGTTCCCAACTGACTCTGGGCTCCGTGTGGCACTGCAGCTTTGAAACACTGCAATAGCGTTTCCAACCAGCAGCACCGCACAGAGCCCAGGATCAGCTGTGTGGCACTGCCCCTTTGAAACTCCGCCATCGCTTTTCAAACCAACAGCATCACACAGAACCCATACCTTGGGCTCCGTGCAGCACTACTGCTTTGAAGTACCTCCTCTTCCCCATGCCTCTTTGCAGCCTCTATCTGATAGAGGCAGCAAGGGGGAGAGGAAGCAACTAGCCGACTTGTCGACAATTCATTAATATCCTTACTTCCAGCCCATGGCCAGGGCTCCACTGCTGGCCCCATGCCCTGAATTCCAGTTGCTAGCCCAAAGCCTAGGGTCCCAGCTGCTGCCTCACACCCAGGGCTCGCCTCTAGGTTCAGAAGCCACCTCCAGGCTCAGCCCCTTTACCCCCTTACCAAGTCCTACCATCCCAGAGACACGGCCCTGCTCCCAGCCACAGTTCTAGGGGAGGCGTACTGACAGGTGTAAAGGGGATCTACTAGATTTCAGCAACCCCACTATTGAAAGTGTTCCAGTTGCACTGGCTCTGTTGTGGAGGAACTAGGGTGACCAGATGTCCCATTTTTAAATGGACAGTCCCATATTTAAGCACTCCTGCAGTTGTCTCAAATAACTGTCAATGGGATTTTAATTGTCCTCAACTTGTTCTACTTCAAATCTATGGTACTAGTTCTTTACCAAATGACTTTAAGTAGGATTAGATATTAATCCTAAGTAGGTTTAATTTAAGTAGGATTGCAGATATTCACTGTTTGTATCAATACATTTATTCATTAAATTGCCCTGCTAATATTTCTGCATTATAGCTTGTTTCAGATTACTTCATTTTTTAGCTATCACTTACTTACTAAACATCAGTGCGAGTGAACAGAAGAGCTCTACATCTCTGGACAAAGTCCTAGCACCTGACACCGATGAAGCACCTCTTTTCTCAAACAAACTGAGGATTGGAACTGCTAATCTTCTAACAGTAAAAGCTACTTAAAACAAGCATATATGTGTGTGTTGCAGCAGCAGCAGAATGGGCACTAAGAGTCTCACTTTAAAAAGATAGCATTTGGGATTCAGCCACAAAGCAATAAGTGCAGAGGGAAATGTAGTTAAAAAACAACTACTGGCCTGAATCATCACCCCAGACATAAATACACTTGAATATCAGGAATGTGGATTCTGAATCCAAATGTCTCATGCCCATTGTGTTTTTCCTACTTTTTTTCTGGAATTATAGTGTGCGCTACCTAATATGTTTTAGAACTTCCTTAAGTGCATGGTGCTACCTATGGACTTGTTGGGCTTGTCTACGCTAGCATGTTTTGTCACCAAAAGGCAGTTTTGGTGACAAAAAACTTCCACCCCTGTGAAAGACTTTTGTCTTTTCCCCTCCCTTTATTGTCAACATAGATCCAGTGTGGACTCTGCTGTTGTTTTGTTTTGTTGAAGAACTGACTTCTGCCACTATGCCTACCCTGATGGTTGTATTTAGTGTTTTGTGATCTCTGTTGCCCTGCAGGCATACACCCATCCCCTTTCAAAGTTCCGGAAAATGCACTTAGACAACAAGAGCAATGAGATGTTTTATTTCATTTTATGCTCTTAAAGCCAGTGGTTTAACATCACTCCTTTTTCTCTGTGCATCCTATAATTTAGTTAACCATTTCATGTGCCAGTGCAATTATTTGGATTTACTGTGGAAATTTTTGCATACATAATTTATAGCTTGTATTAACTGATTTTGTCACTGTAATTTTCACCCTTTTAATTAATTGCCATTTTATCAGCTATTGCACAGCTACAGTAAAACATCTGCCATGACTGAAATCATTCATTGCCAATGTTGAAAATGCTTATCACTTTTGGAATTAACGCTGCATCCAGTGGTGATTTCCTCTGGCTGCCAGGTTGCAGGAATTTCTTAATTGTGGGGATGTTGCTTATCCTTGCCTTAAAAACCTGAAACAAGAAATGGTACAACATTTAACAGCAAAGAAATAACAGAGCAAAAGATACTTGCACATATATTAAACATGAATTAAAACAGGATCCTGTGATCTGGCCTGCAATGAACTGTAAGTGAGCTATATGCAACAAAATCCAATTATCTACTAGGAGGGCAGTTGCAGGCACTGTCTGCCTGGCAGTTCTTGTAGGATTGTGGCCTAAGAGCTGGTTAAAATTTTCTTAATAACTTTTTCACTGAAAAAATGGGCTTTTGTCAGCAACTATAATTGTCCTGAAAAAAATTCATTGTCATTGAATGTTTGTGACGCTGACCCAGAAGGGGTTAACTATCAGGCTATATGACCCTGTACTGGGGAGGAGTGGCTGCTCATTGACCCAGAGGTGGAAGAACCTCTCCAGGAGCCATTTTGGGCTGAGCCTGACCCTGCCCAGCCACCTGACAGGAAATCAGAAGGCGGGGCCAGAACTATAAAAGCCCAGCCTGAGGACTCAGTTGGGGCCAGCCTACAGAGGGACGAGAGGCCTGCCCAGTGCTCCCTGCCTGGGAGGCTCAGCTTTGGCCAGGACCTCCAGCCGTACCTGATTGACTGGAACTGCTGGACCTGCAAGCAGCCAAGGACTGGCCTGGACCTCCGGGACCCCAGCTGGACCTAACAACCCTGGAATCCCCCCAAAAGCGGTTCCCACCTTACACAAGCTCTATATAAGGCCTGGGAGTGACATCAGCAAGGAGACACTGAAAAAAGACTTGGAGGCAAGAACTGAAGTGGAGGTAGAAGAGTTGGACATAAGGAAGTTGGAAGGACATCCAGCTTCTGAGTTTCAAGCAGCAGACTAGTGCAGCTGGCTTTCAAAACTCTGACATTTGCCTATGACAACATTTTTTAAGATGAGGAATCATTTATAACCAATTTCATTGGTCAATCAAGATAATTTGTTTTGTTTTATTTGCTTAGTAATCTGCTTTATTTGGTTTGCTATCTCTTATATTAACTTAAAATTCACCTTTTATAGTTAATAACTTATTTCTTATTTACAACATAACACACCTTGTGCGAGTCATAAATGGGCAGTTAAAGAGGCTGCGCATATCTGTCTCCCCATTGAGGGAGGGAGCAGATCACATAATGTACCTTTAGGTTTGCTGTCCAAGGGAGGGAGGTACCTGAGTGTTGAGGAAAGTCCCTTACACTGAGATCAGCTCTAGGAACCTCATTTTATCTGCAGTTGGTTATGGCCCTCCACTGTGTATGCATTAAAAGAGACAACCTGACTCAGCAAGACTGGGTAAAAGAGTTCCCAAGCTCACATAATAGGCAGTATCTCAGTACATCAGGTGGCATCTTAAAGTGGAATAACTGAGGGAAGAATTAAGCACGCTGTATCTTTTTCTCATTACTGTTTAAATCATTCAGCCAAATTCATCCCATCTTTGTTGACTTCAGGGATTAATCTGGCCTCATGTTCTTATGTTATATAACATGATTTGTTCTGTAACAGTTTTGAATTTAGGCAATATCTGAAACACTTGTACACGTTTGAGCCAGAGCATCCGTGTAAAGCTATATAGCTACGTTGTCTTCAGTGAGGATCTGCTCCTACACATTTCATTGCCTGTTAGAGCTTTTAATTCTTTTACCTGTAAGACGGGGAATTTGGAGAGTATATCAGGCTTGCATTCTTCTGCCATTAGAATGGTTTCAAGCAGCTGTACATCTGCCCTGCTGAATTGGTTGCCAACAAGAAAATCCTGTCCATGGTCTTTCAAAGCCTACAGGACAGGAAAGAATGACTTTATAAATATAAACAGGATAGTCTGTGCTCTGGATAAATACATAAAGCTAAGCCTAATGTAATATTTCAATAGCACATCTAGATCTGTGTAAGAGTTACCTTTGAAAGGAAGTAATATAAAAATGCAGGATTGTTTGAACATACAGAAAACTCAATTTCACCTTTGTGTTAGGCTTTCTTCAAAATAATGAAGGTTTGGATCTGACAGGAAGATTTAGTCTTTTTGACAGAAAGAGTTTTTAAAATCTGTAGCTTTTATGAACACAACTGAAATGGATTGGGTCTGAGGATTGGCATGGCGACTTTTCATGTTTTCCACCTCAGTACCAAGCTAAAAAAAAACCCATTTGAAATAAATAAAGTGACCTTGAGCAATTCCAGCTAGTAATTTTAATACCATTATAGACAAAGCATAATCATAAAAAAAGCCCATACACACATTTCATAGATCAAATGGAAAGATTCATTCTTTTAATAGTTGTTGTTATGAATAGTAGTGTTTTATATATATATATAGTGCCATAGGTTTGTGTAGGTGCCAACTGAAAATTTATCTTAAAATGTTTGCACAAGATAGTTTGCAAACACTGTCAATGGTGTGGTATAGATAATGCACATCTGAAGGTGCCTCCTGATGCTCTATGGAACAGATAGTTGCATGAGCAGAGTAAAATAATGATAGTTATTCTATAGCTATATGCAATTCACAAGAAATTTGGAGTACAAAAATTATCCTGGCCCTTGTGCGGTTCTGCCCTTATTTTTTCTTACCTTTGAGGCTAAGGAAATCCCATTAAGGCCATAAATTTATACTTGCCTTAACTAGTTTTCCCATCGGCACACCAAATATATCTGTTCTTCTGTAATACTGGCTCAATGTGTATTTACTAGACTACATCCAGGATATATAATAAAGTGACTCAATGTGCCAATGAGTACTGCAACATACCTTTTCATAGACTGGAAAGTACCTCATTGTGGCCTTCTCAATGATAGAGGCAAGATGCTTTGCCTTGTTCTCCGGTGGCTGGAGAGGATGGTGCATAATAATTTCATTCAGATCACTTGTTGCTTCCACATACATATCAATCCTGAAAGGCAAAGTATGCCAGTATTCATATAGGGTTAAGAAGCTAAATGCCAGAAGGTTTACCACTGACCAATTTCTGTTTTCTCAGTCAAAAATCAGTAGATATATGACATCACCTCCTTTTTTAGAGATGATTGGAATTATCTGTGTCAAAGATAGGGCCAATATTTTCATATTTAGGTTCTGAAAGTTAAACATAGTTAAATCACCCACATTTCTATTTTGGCACTTGTGTGAAATCAGTGAGAGGGCGAGACCTAATATTAGTGAAACACTATGGCTACGTCTACACTGGCGTGATTTTCCGGAAATGCTTTTAACGGAAAAGTTTTCCGTTAAAAGCATTTTCGGAAAAGCGCGTCTAGATTGGCAGGACGCTTTTCCGGAAGAGCACTTTTTGCGGAAAAGCGTCCGTGGCCAATCTAGATGCACTTTTCCGCAAAAAAGGCCCAATCGCCATTTTCGCGATCGGGGCTTTTTTGCGGAAAACAATACTGTGCTGTCTACACTGGCCCTTTTGTGCAAAATTCTTTCGGAAAAAGACTTTTGCCCAAGCGGGAGCAGCATAGTATTTCCGGAAAAGCACTGACAATCTTACATGAGATCGTCAGTGCTTTTCCGGAAATTCAAGTGGCCAGTCTAGACACAGCCTATGTGTCCCATTGAGAATTAAGTTGGACATCACATTAGCAATAATAAGTGGTATTTGTATCCATAGCGACAAGACCATCAAACAATAATACAATTTATTTGCCTTTACTAATTAATCTGAGTCGTTTGGGGATGTATAGCGAGAGTTTCCCCTAAATATGCAGTTCATGGGGACAAAGGGCAGGGATTACTTTGGCTCTTAGCTTGCAAGAGCAGTGTGCTGCTTGACCTTATGGGAGACAAGTAATGGTGTCCTACCAGTGGACAGTGATATTAGGCAAAACACTGGAGAGGAGGGATAGCTCAGTGGTTTGAGCATTGACTTGCTAAACCCAGGGTTGTAAGTTCAATCCTTGTGAAGGCCATTTGGGGCAAAAATTGTCAGGGGTAGTACTTGGTCCTACTGAGAAGGCACTGGACTCAATGACCTTTCACAGTCCCTTCCAGTTCTAGGAGATAGGCAATCTCCATTAAAAAAAAAAAAAAAAAGACCTCTGTGGCAGCAGTACATGTGTTATCTGACTTGCTGAATTTTGAAAACTGTAATGACCTCTGAGGTAATCAAGATAAACTCACATGTACTTTTTAAGTGAATTTCTAATCTAGTTATTTAACTTTGTCCCAGACCTTAGTATTATTGATCTTGGTTGAAAATCAACAGAAATGTGCTGATTCATCATATAATTGATTAGGAATCAGGATTCCCCCTCCACCTTTTACTGCACATATAATAGTGATTTTTCTTGCTGTCAGAAAAAGGTAGCAGTGTTACAGTACAGTGCTCTCTCCTTAAGGTTCTTCCCATAGAGGTTGTATTTCCCTGCTATGTAGTTGAGAATGGCTCTGGTCTGAACCATCTTCATTCCATCAATTTCCACCATGGGCACTTGTTGAAACAGCAGATGTCCATCTTTTAAAAGAAAGATGAGAAGTAATACTCAAATAAACTAGTCACTTTCTCCAAACAATTATCATTGCAACACAGTTGAGAGAACCTCTATTTTGCAATTTTCTTTTTAAATGTGAAGTTCTTTTATCTCATACTGTGAAGTGAACAAAGTTTACAGTAAAATGTGAATGCTATTTCTTATGGAAATAGGTAAACAAAAACTAAGAGCTTGCATTATAATAATAAACTTCTTAGAATTACTGCAAATACAATAGGAATTCAAAGAAAGGGACAAATCATGCATTGTGTCGTTTACTCAAGTAAAGTTCCCACAGAGGTTAATAGGATAAGAGTGAAGGATTTGGCTCGTAAGAAAACTTTCATCATGCTTCATATGAATTTCCAAAATAATAATTTTGCATATAACATCTTTAATCTGATCATATCAAAACACCGTAACAAGCAATCTATAGAGCAGAGGTGGGGCAATAAGACGGAGGCAGTTCACCAAGATGAGCCCTTGGCAGGCTGCCATCACTGTATTTATCTTCACTTCCACAGATACAAGGGCTTGTAGCTCCCATTGGCCGTGGATCGCCATCCTGGCCAAAGGGAGTTGCAGAAAGTGGCATGGATTGGGACGTTGCTTCCCACAGTTCCCATTGGCTGGGAATGGTGATCCAAAGCTAATGAGATCTGCAACCACCCATACCTGTGGACATGGGCGGCGAGTTATATGGGCTTGTGGTGCCCATGCTCCAGCAATATTCAGAGCCGGGGGCCCTGCTCAACCAATATTTGGAGCTGGTGTTCTCCCCTGGCCCTGCCTGAAGTGGGCCCCAGCCCACACCTGCAAGCGCGTCCTCCCCCTGGCCCCAGAGCGTCCCCAGAGGAGAAGAGGGATTGTAACGGGGCGCCCGCAGCCCCCGCCCCTGCGCCCTGGCAGCGCATGTGCACACTGCATGCCAGACAGGGGTGACAGGATGCGGAGGCCTCGCCCCTGGGTGGACGCTGCAGAGAACGGGTGCGGCGGGCTAGCCCTGTCCCCGCACCCTTGCGGCTCATGCTCATGCCACATGCTGGGTATTTTAAATGCCAGAGGTGCGGCAGACAAGGGGGAGGGAGTCCACCCAGGCTGGGGTCAGGGCCGAGGCTGAGGCTGGGAGCTCAGGGAAGCGCCCACCCTCCTGCAGCAGCCGGGACCCAGCAGGCAACCCCACGGGGCGGACGCCCAGACTCTGCAGCCCGAGAAGGAACAGGCAGCGGATGCCGGAGCAGCCTATACCCCCTCGACGAAGAGAGGGGCGGCAGGGCCTGATCACAGACTCCAGCCCCACTGACCTAAAAACTGGAAGGCAGAAGGTAGGGGAGGGGAAAAAACAGGGGAAGGAGTGGGAGAGGAAGGGGTTTGTGCTGAGGGGAGGGGGGCAGGTCAGGAGAAGAAAGGGGAAGGCACCAAGGCACAGGTGGAGGAGAGAGACAAATGCCAGGGCGCCTGAGAGGGAGGGAAGGGGCTTGTGCAGAGGCAGAGGGGAAGGGGAAGGCACCAAAGGGACAGGGGCGGAGGAGAGACAAATGCCAGGGGCCAAGTGCAGACAATGAGAAAAAAGGCAGGATGGGAGGTGTCAGTGGGAGGGGGACAGGGTGATGCTGGGAGGGGACAGGGTAAGGGCATTGGGGGCTAGAGGGGGGAGGGGAAGGTGCTGGGAGAAGGCTTGAAAGAAGGGGTGGGCATGAGGAAGGCTGGGATGGAGCAAGTCATGTGTGATGGCACAGGGGCAGGAGGGGAACGGGGGCAGAGGGTGGTAAGGGGGTGGGCATCAGGGGAAAAGAGGGCAAAGAGGGCAGGGCTAGTGACTTGCAGACATCTAACTTTTCTAAGTAATTTTTAACTTGTTCTTTTTTATTTTAACTTCTAAACCTACCTACCCCATTTCCACTAGTATTCACTATGTTAGGCATCCTGTCATCTTCCTTTTCTTGAGGAAAACTGAAACAAGGAAATCATTAAGCACCTCTGCCATTTCCTACTTTCCTGTTACTGTTTCTCCCTCTTCACTGAGCAATGGGCCTACCCTGTCCTTGTTTTTATAGAGTAACATGTTACTGTTATAAAACTGGCATAACAGAATGGAGGTTAGAATCCAATATTTGAATGAAATAAAATGGTCTTACTGCAATTATGATTCATCATATTCATGATCCACTCCCGATTTTCTTTTTTTAAAAGGCAGTTACATTTTAACGAATTCCCCATGAGGATACAACAACAATTCTAAAAGAAAACAAATTATAGAAACTCACCCTGTCGTAACTTTAAAAGATCTTCCCTTGTTTCACAGAATTGTTCTTCAAACTGGAAAACAAATGGGTAAAAAGAGGGAAAAGTGTCTTATTTTTATTGATGGGGTTCAGTTGGGAAACACTTGAGAAAATAATTAATAGATCATTTTTTAGGATTTATTTCACTTCTGCAGTTAAAGACTTTGCAATAATCTGTACTTAGATAAAATCCTGCCTCTGTTATGTTTTTCCTTTGCCTTTTTATGCTTAATTTAAATGCCTTTTGTGTAGGAACCTATGTTAGATTGTGGCTAGCCCTGCACAGGTGTTCAAGGTGACCAGAGAGCTAAAGAAACATTCTTCTGTGCAAGAGGCAGACACAATGCACTGATGACAGGTAATGACTGGGGTGTCTAGGTCCCCAGGATGGGGTGAAAGCAGAGCCAGGCATGGTGGAGGAAAGAAAGCACATCCAGTAGCTGTTGGGCTAGTCTATGATTTTTTGCCATAACCCTTGCGTGGGGAGAAAAGAAAAAGGATTTGCACCAGCAGAAATCCCCAGAGGCTTCCTGGCTGCCTACTAACCAACATGTCACAGCAGCCATGTACCCCTCTGGCATGGCTTTCAGAGTTAACCCAGAAAGCAGTTAGTTTCACTTATATTAGTATTGTTATTTGCATTGGATAGGGCATAGAGGCTCCAGCTCCACTTTGACGGGCATGATGCAATCGCTATCTTGGCCAATATCCAGCAGTGAAATGGAAACATCTAGATTTGGAAGTTTGTGTCTGTAAGGCTTGAAGTAAAGAACCAGGCTCTCCAGGTGAGGCTATGAAAGACTCACATCCTCTGTGTCCTGGGAACAGAGGATAGCATGTAAAATACTGACCACAATGGTCATCAGTGGGTACAGAACCCAGGCTCAATTGCTTGACTGGATTGGAGCAGCTCCATTAAGTGTAAATATGTCTCACTGTCTCCAAGGAAAGCTGCTAAAGAGAGACATAATCACACACATTGTTATAATTTTACACGCTGGCTGTGCAACCACTTGTGTATGTGCAGTGAGTTTGGAACCAATGACTTCCAGGTGGTCACATCTGCTATGCAGAACCGTCATTTCCACCAAATTATGCATTTCCAACTTGGTTTCTTTATAAAATAGAAGCAGACCTCGACTCCAGCTGCTGCTAAAAGCCATCGTATCGTTTCCATTCGGCCTCTTCCATCAAAATAGTACAGTTTGGGTTTCCCACTCATGCTTCCAAGTGTCTTGGTTTCCTGTTAAATTAAATAAAGGAAAAAGTTTCAAAGAATCAACATGAGGGAAGCTCAGTGTTTGACACTCAGGAAGTCAGCACGGCATTCTCAAACACCTGTCACTGTAGTGTTTAGATGACTCGGGTTCCTACTTGCTACAATTATACAAATAATTTAAAGTAATGCTGGATGCTGACTGTACAACAAAAACAAGCAAAATACCAAGGACCAGAAAAGAGCAGTAGCTTTTCTCAGAACACTGGAATTTTCTTTCAATGCTGGAGCAAAAGGCTCAAAGATATTCAGGGTGTGTCTAGACTACATGGCTCCAGCGACAGAGCCATGTAGATGAGTGTACTCGGCAAAGGGAAACAAAGAGGCAATTTAAATAATCGCTGCTTTATTTACATCAAAATGGCTGCCTGTCAGCCAATGGTCAGGGCAGTGTGTGTGTGTGTGTTACACCTGAATCTTCAGCTGCTGGGACACAAAGTCCTGTCGCAGCGGGCAGCCTAGGGAGGTTGTCAGTGCCGGCCCTATTGCTGCTCCTATTGTCTTATGGAGAGAACATGCTTAAATGGGCTAAACTGCCATGAGATCAACTGTTTTCTCATTAGATTTTTGCCATTTGGGAGGTAATATCAGGAATGCAGCTAGTCTTGTAAGATTTTGTCTCATCTCAAATGAGAAGTGGATAATGGCTCCACAAAGGATCGTAATCATACTAAATACGTGTGTAATGAGCTGAATGCCAAAACTGTTTTAAAGTCAACAAAAGGAAAGAGACTAACACTCTGAAGCAGGGGAGCCAACAGAGTTGCCACCCCCCTGGACAAGATGAAGGGGTAGTTTTGTGCTGCTGGAAGGGGCAAGGCATTGGGTGAAGAGACTGGGGCAGCCCTTAGTGCTGTACTACGCTGCCCTACCCCTGCCTCAGGCAGTCCTCTGAGCCACACAGATTGCACTGCACAGCTCTCTGGTGGTGATTTAAAAGACCTAGGGGTCCAGCTGTCACAATATTAGCAGCAGCAGCCACCAACAGCTCTGATCCCTTTTGAATGGCCAGGCAGTAGGGCAGCTGTCTCCTTTACCCACCTCCATTGTTGAGCCTGCTCTGAAGTTCAGATTAAGTAATGGAACATAAAATATTTGGCCCAGGATTCTGGACTAAAGACCAACCCAAATAAGTTATGCAATGGCACTAGAAGCTGTAGGAATGCAGGTGGGAAAGCACCTATATGGCACTAGAAGCTGTAGGAATGCAGGAATCTGGAATGCTGAAGGAATGCTGGTGGGAAAGCACCAGCAAAAAAGATTTATTATAAATGCTCTTTTTGCAAACTATAATATCTACCAGCAAAAAAGATTTATTATAAATTAGGGGGCAAGAAAGTAAATATTCCAAGGAGTATAAATATAAACATTAAAGGCCTGACTGCTGGAGAAGCTGCTGTGAAAATGTCATTGTGAAACTTGCTTGCTTGATCTTTAATCTTCTGTTAGCTCCTAATCTCAAGAGATAAATTACTGTTTCGTTAATCAAGTCTCAGAGGGATGGTCATGTTAATCTGTATCTCCAAAAACAGCAAGAAGTCCTATAGCACCTTAAAGACTATCAGTTTTACATAAACATGAAAGCTTATGCACAAATAAACAAATATGATCTAGACCGTGCTTGGTCTTGCCATGAGGGTAGGGGACTGGACTTGATGACCTCTCAAGGTCCCTTCCATTTCTAATATTCTATGATTCTACAAAACTTGTTTGTCTTTAAAGTGACACAGGACTCATCATTGTTTTTTCATTAATCAATTAGTAGGAGTTGTTGCTGCTCAGCATCTTTGAAAATCCAGGTTTCATTTCAAAGATCAGATGAAGTGTTGTCCATGGTATATGAAAGCCTCACATTTATATGAATTCCATTTTATGGTGAAAGTTCTCTATAATACATTCAAACTGCTTTTCTCCAACTCTGAAAGTGCCTTGTTTCCAGCTGCTAATCCATGTGATAACAATGCTAAATATGCATGAAATATCTTTCTAATATTACTTTTTCATGCAACTGCTGCCCTTGCATCAAGAATTTTATGCAATTATAAAACAGGAAGGGTGTGTGTGTGTGCTTGTGTGTGTGTGTGTGTGTGTGAAAAGTTTGAAACCCCATGGATTAATACAACTAACATGTAATTCAGGGAATGTCTACACTACAGAGTTTTTTTTCAGAAAAACAACCATTTTTCCTAAAAAACTTCAATTACGTCCACACTCAAATTGCGTTCTTTTGAAAGAAAATCGAAAACTGAGGGTTTTTTCCAGAATTGGTCATCCTCTTTCTACAAGGAAGAAGCCTTTTCCCGAAAGAGCGCTTTTGGAAAAAGACTTGTCTGGACGGGGAAGAGGGAGTTTTTTCAAAAGAAGAGTACAGAGGAAAAAGCACAGATGCCCTGGTGTCCACTCCATCTATAGTAATAATAATCAGATGCCCTGGTGGCCACTCCATCTATAGTAATAATAGTTTAAATGTGAGAGAATCCATTCAGTGTGGACGCTATCTTTTGAAAAGGCAAATTGCTTTTTCAATGTGCGTTGGCAGTGTGGATGCTCTCTTTCAGAAGAAGTTTTTTCAGAAGATCTCTTCTGGAAAAGCTTCTTTCGAAAGAAGCCTGCAGTCTAGATGTAGCCTCAGTGTGACCATTTTAAAGCCCAGAATATTTCAGTCATAATTAGTAGAGTGCTTTATGACAGAGAAACTCTCAAAATACTGTACACATGAGACCAAATATCATTATGACTCTTTTACATACAGAGAAACTGAGGTATACATGGACCTTGCCCAAGCCCTCCCCAGCAAATCAATGGCATAGGCAGATAAAAATGGCCATAATGGATCTGACCAATGGTCCATCTAATCAAATATTCAGTCTTTCAACAGTGACCACAGGCCTGTATGCAGGAATTTCTGGGGATGTGTGCTTTTTTTTGTAAATGTGGACCCACGGGTATGAATGCACCCTCTGTGGTCCTCCAAGTAAGCAGGGAAATCAGCCCCAGTCTTCCCCCGGCTGACCAGAGCATGAAGAAGGTAGGCACAGGCAGCACACCACTCCTGCCTTCCCCTGGCTGTCCGGAGCATACTTACTTCAGGGGCCATGGAAGGGAGCTTTTGCATCATTTGAACCCCCCAGCATATGGGCCTGGACCAATGCCAAATGCTTCAGAGGGAATGATCAGAACAGGAAATCAGGGAGTGATCCATCCCCTATCACTCATTCCCAGCTGCTAGCAGTCAGAGGCTAGGGACATACAGAGAATGAGGTTGAATCCCTGACCCTCTTGGCTAGTAACCACTGTTAGACCGATCTTTCATGAACTTATCTACAAAAATAAGTCTCCTGATTCCTGAACCAGTGTCCAACCCATGGACCACTTTAGCTTCCAGTCAGTACCATTTAAAAATGGAACATGCATGTAACAGTGTGCTAGTGCATGGTAGCAGAATTAATCATTTCTAATGCTCACTAAGCTATTATGATTTTTTTATAGTTTCTATTGGTAACATTTCTTTCAATAATTTTGAGGTGTAGAAAAATCAGAAGAGTGGGCCTGATCCTCACCTAGTGAAGTCAAGCGTATGAAAATGATTTTCATCAAATGAGGATCTGACTTTGTGTTTTCATTGAATGTAATAGTGGGGAGGAAATTTTAAAACACTACACATATTTTATAATACTAACACTGTTCCTTCAGCATTTTCTCTATTTCTTTTGCCTTCGCTTCAAGATGTCTCAGGGTATGTCTACACTTGCACCCTCTTCCGAGACAGGGATGCAAATGAAGACATTCAAAATTGCAAATCAAGTTGGGATTTAAATATCCCACTATTTAAATAGTGCTATTTCAAAATAACAGACGTTATTAAGACGCGATTATTTCGAGAGAAAACCCTTCTCCCGAAATAACTGCTAACCTCATTGTATGAGGAATAAGGGTTATTTCGAGAGAAGGGTTTTCTCTCAAAATAACCGCATCTTAACAGCGTCTGTTATTTCGAAATAGCGCTATTTCGAAATAGTGCCATAATGTGAATATGCAAATGAAGTGTGGGATATTTAAATCCCGGCTTCATTTGCAATTTCAAATGTCTTCATTTGCATCCCTCTCTCGAAAGAGGGCGCAAGTGTAGACATACCCTTCAGATACTTACAATATGTTATATAAACATAGAATGCTTTGGCATATTGCCATGTGTCAGGGTATGTCTACACTTCATTCCTCTTCCGAGAGAGGAATGCAAATACATACACCTGAAATTGCAAATGAAGCATGGATTTGAATTTCCTGTGCTTCATTTGTATAATCGCGTTATGGCGCTATTGTGGAATAGCGCTATTTCGGGGGGGGGGGAAAACCTATTGTGGAATAGCGCTATTTCGGGGGGGGGAAACTGAGTTATTTTGAGATAAAAACCTTCCTTTGAAATAACCCTCAAGTTTTATAAATAAAGGAACTCAGACATTAAAGACTAAGAAGAGACCCCTCTTAGATGCATTTTCTCTAGCAGCCATTTTGTTGAAAATCTAAAGCAAAATGATATTTTCCTACAGTCTACATTCAGTACAAAGGTCTTTTTCATTATCTCCAGCTGCCTCTTATGTTCTCAAAGTGTTATGGTGTTTGCTAAGGAGCGGAGAAGTTTAGTTCTTTTTTATTTGATCATTTTAGTTTGTCTTCTGACCCGCTCTGTACTGGTAGCCAGCTTGTGCAATGAGAGTCCAGTGAAAACACATTCTCCATTCCAAGCTTCCATTCTTGTTATTGCTGCTTCTTTCTCTGTCTCCTTCCCCTCCCTCAGTTAGTACTCCCAAACCATATCTACACTAGCCTCTTTTTTCAGAAAAAAATGCCCCATCACTGAAGAGGTAACCAATTTAATTTACAGCAAAGGAGATTTAGATTCAAGTTAGGAAGTTTTTCCTAATTGAGCACTGGAATAGGTTACCTAGGGAGGCTGAGAAATCCCTGTCCTTGGAGTGTTTTAAGAACAGGTTGGAAAACCACCTCTCAGGAGGGATGGTCTAGAAATTCTTAGTGCTGCCTCATGCCAGGATGGATGATGGACTAGATGACCTACATTTCTATGTTTTTATCATTGCTAACACCAGCGGGAACAACAGTGTGAGTACTAGAGTAGATAGAGCTATAAGCAATCAGTACTGTTTTTAGCACTGTCTCATCTCACTTTGCTCAGTACAGGCTAGCTGATTTAGTAGAAGAAATGCTGGCAGCACCTAGTCCATGCTAGCTCTCCCGTAAGAGCTAATGCCATGGCAACAGTGGAGCTGAAATGGCATTAGCAACTGTGGGAGCAAATGCACAGTGCTCACTTTGCCCTCAGAAATGCCATGTCTTGATCTTTCCTGAAATCACTATTTTTTTCCTGACATCTGGATTCTCCTTTTCTTCCAGCACTACAGCAAGCATTTGATCTGCACCTGAATTACTTTACTGCACATCAACCTTATCATACTGAAAATTAGCACAAACATTCTATTAATATTTCATCCATTAGACCCATTTACTGAAATTACTTTCAAACCATTTGGTCAATTCCTGGTACATTTCTAAAGATCAGTACTAACCTTTTGGGACTCCTGGTCCAGTCCAAACTAGTCTTGAATAAAAAAATAGTTCCTCTAAGTTATAAAGTTTTATAGCTCCACCTACTGGGAGGAGAGTCCAATTTTGTCCAAAGGGTAAGGGAAACGCCCATTGTTAAACAAATGAAATCAGTTGGCTCTGCCAGCTTTCTGATTTGTCACATACATCAGAATCTTCCCAATACAGACTTGCCTAATCAACAAACCTAAAGATCCACAAAATCTCATGGTATGTCTCCGACCTAACATTCATAGCCGCTACAATAGCGCTCCGCTAGTTCAAATTTGAATCGAACTAGCGGAGCGCTTAGTTCGAACTAGGAAAACCTCATTTTACGAGGATTAAGCCTAGTTCGAACTTACTAGTTCGAATTAAGGGGTGTGTAGCCCCTTAATTCGAACTAGTGGGAGGCTAGCCCTCCCCAGCTTTCCCTGGTGGCCACTCTGGCCAACACCA